TGGTGATGGTGATGATGATGGTGGTGGTGATGATGATGGTGTTAGCAATGGTGATAGTGATGATGATGGTGGTGGTGGTCGCAGTAAAAACAATTTTCTTGAGAATAAAAAAAATACAAATATGATACAGTATAAATTCAATATAGACTAAACAGGAACTGTTTAAAGGAAAAAAAAAAAACACAAAGGGAACGAAATGACTAACACAAGAGTTCACCTTTAGCCTCAGGTCTCCATTCTAACGAGGGTACGAGTTCCTAATGACCACGGAGCAGTTTGAACAATATAAGTTCGAATCGAAGAGGCTTTGAACACCTGTTTAATTTAGTTTAAAGCTTATGCATTTTATACATCAAGAAAGTGAAGTCTAGTGTTCTTATACTTACACTAATACACTCTTTCATAACCAAGGAGTCACCCATTTTTTTCCTCATTTTCACAAGCAAACAAAAAGTATTCTTTTCCCAAGACCCGCTCCCTCCCTCCAGAGTGCACAGAGAAAAAAAGAAAAAGAAAAAAAAATGACGACTACCTCAGGATATCTAATTTTATCCGGATCGCCATTATTATGATGTTAAAAAAAACCATACGCAAGATATTTACCCCCCCACCCCCACCCCAGCGTACGATTTGCGATTTGTACGCTCATGAAAAGGACGAAAAAATGGATAGCACCTAATATATTGGATATGAAATGACGGCAGACGATGCTGAGGCTCTTGTAAATCATTATTTATAGGTCTTAGTTTACAGAAAAGGAAACACTGGGAACTACTGATTAAGTTTTTTTTTCTATCTACGGATTAGAAAAAAAATACACACACACATACAACCATATATATCTATATCTATCTATCTATCTATCTATCTATATATATATATATATATGTGTGTGTGTGTGTGTGTGTGTGTGTGTGTGTGTGTGTGTGTGTGTGTGTGTGTGTGTGTGTGTGTGTGTGTGTGTGTGTGTGTGTGTGTGTGTAAGTATATGGTTCCAACAACAGATTATTGAAAATAGAATCTGAACATTTCTCTGTTGCACGCTAAATCTTAGACTTGATTTA